TTTTTAGCAAGCTCTGATGTCTATCATACTCTTGAAGAAGTGCTACTGTCACTGTGAATCTTTATGGAGTACAAGTGCATCTATAAATCTTTCAGAGCTGTTAGAGAAGGTGCCTGATACTCCTCCAGGAAAAATCAGAATCTGCACCTGCCAACTGATGGTTCTCCGTTGCTCTTAGAATAAGGTCAACATTGCTTAGCCCAGCATTCCATGTCTGTCATACTCCACTTCCTCTCCAGCCAAATCTCTGGCCATGTACTTGCTACATTCAGTTATGCCAGACTTCCTTCATTTCCTGAACATACTGCATTCTTTCTTGCTTCCGTGTCATTATTCACGCTGTTCCTCTGCCTAGAGTATCCTTCCCATTTTGCCCACCTGGTGACCCTTTACTCACTCAGGTGTCCTCCTTCAAGTGTTCCCTCTTTCAGAAAGTCTTTTTGACCTCATCTGGAAGAATCTGTTGCTTCTTCCTCTGGGCACTTGTTATACTTGGACATTTCTGGTGTGATAGACACACCATAAGGGGACCCCCCCAATCTCCCAGTGAGTCACAGCCATGTATATTCTCCTCCACTTCCATGTAGGCAGGCAGGCTTCTAACCCATAGAATACGGTAAATGTGATGGGATGGCCCTCCCTTGCTTAGGTTACTTTATGTGGCAAAGACGATGGGATGTTGTTCCCATGATTACAGTATGTTGCATAAGTCATTATCTTAGCAGCCTAGAGACAGAGACCCCTTGTGGCTTTCAAGAAGTCAACTAACATTTATGGACCACATTGCTAAAAATTGTTAGTAACTTCTCAGAATAGAGAGTGGCTTCCAGCCAACAGCCAGGAAAAAGGTGGGCCCTCAGTCACAATGTCAGAGAGATGGACTCTGCCATCGACTGCATGAGCTTGGAAGTAGAAGCTCTCCAAATGAAGATTTCAAATGAGAACAGAGCCCTGCCAACACCTTGATTGCAGCCCTGTGAGATCCTGAGCAGAGGAACAGAGGAACCGACTAACCCATGCCCTGACTCCTAACTCATGGAAACTGTGATGTAATAAATGCATATTGTTTAGGCAATCAAGTGAGTAACAATTTGTTACACAGCAATCAGTTACTAATATACTATATTACAGCACACAGCCAGTATTCTTTATATGTTACTACCAATTGAATGAGAGCCATGAGAACAATGACTAGAGTTCAGCTCTTTCAGCCCACACACAGTACCTGGCACATAGTAGGCACTTGATAAACTGTTTATTGAATGAAAAAGTTGAATAGATTTTTAAGGTTCCACCTGGCTTTGAAAAAAAAGAGTATAATTTTAGGATGTTGAAACATCATTTACTGTGACCTTCAGAGAAGGTCAATGAGAATATCATATTTCCAAAGAATAAAGAAGAATACAGACAGAAAGCATTCTTCTGTAACAGTTATAGGTTCTTTGACACAATTTGCCAAGTAGTTGGGCACGCCGGGCCCTGTAAATGTAATAACAATGTCTGTCAAGTGTCTTTGAAGATGGTCAAAGTCAAAAGCAAAACTCACAAAACTGGCTGAAAGGCAGCTAGGACCATTAGCTGCTATTTGAAACCCAGAGACAAAGAGACATTAAGAGCCACAAACCAGTCAAAGGAAGAGTCATCAGTCAGCTTTGGAGCCAGGGACAGAAGTCTCAATTTGTATCAGCCCAGAACTCCCAGAAAACGTTTCATACCCCCCTACCCCTGTCCTCCTCTTCCTCCTTTCCCCTACCTCCTCCTCTGTTATAAACAAAAACATAATCCTTAGAGCAAGAGAGGCCTGCAGACCACCACCTCCAATCCCCTCATTGTACAAATGGGAAGACTGAGGTTGGAGAGAATGAGCTTGACCAACACTATACGGAGGGTCTGAGCCCTGGTTCAGTGATTCTCCTGCCTCAGCCTCCTGAGTAGCTGGGATTACAGGCACATGCCACTATACCTGGCTAATTTTTGTATTTTTAGTAGAGATGGGGTTTCTCCATGTTGGTCAGGCTGGTCTTGAACTCTTGATCTCAGGTGATCCGCCCGCCTTGGCCTCCCAAAGTGCTGGGATTACAGGTGTGAGCCACCACATCTGGCCAATTACATTTTCACACTGCCCTGAAGACTAAAGTTAAAAACAAAACAAAGCAAAAACCTTCCTGAAGGATCAGTGAGAAAATGAGGCAATTCCATGGAAAGTGAGACATCTCACTATTTAAAAAATATTTGATGGGAGCTATACAGATAGGCAAAGCAAAGGAGCGATTTGCTCAAAGTATTGTACTTCTTATAACCAGCCCAGAGCTGCCCGTTGTTCCATGTTTCCACCGTTTCCATGTTTCCATTGCACAGTTCCCAGCCACTGTGCAATGTACTTTACATGTGTTCTCTTCATTACCCTTTCAGCCACCCCCTTTAAGCTCTTTTTTTGGGAGGGGAGATGGAGTAGTCTCACTCTGTCACCAGGCTGGAGTGCAGTGGTGTGATCTCGGCTCACTGCAACCTCCGACTCCCTGGTTCAAGTGGTTCTCCTGCCTCAGCCTGTTGAGTAGCTGGGATTACAGGCACATACCACTATACCTGGTTAATTTTTGTATTTTTAGTAGAGATGGGGTTTCTCTATGTTGGTCAGGCTGGTCTTGAACTCCCAATCTCAGGTGATCTACCAGTCTTGGCCTCCCAAAGTGCTGGGATTACAGGGATGAGCCACCACACCTGGCCAAGCTTTTTTTTTTTTTTTTTTTTTTTTTTAAATAGACGAAAAAACTGAGGCTCAGGGAGATGATGTGATTCCTCCAAGGTTAGTAAGCAGGGATTATTTAAACAAGTCCCTCTGCAGTACTGACCATGGTGCTCTGATGCTGAAATGGGTTGCAGGCTGAGGCTCAGAAAAGAGGATGCCAGCTGGGAAGCCTTGCCTGGGACCCTCACCTCACACCTCACAACGATTGCATCCAGCCATCCATCATCACATTTGACACACACAATGAGACAGCTCCTGACTGTCAGCTCCAGGAGGGCAGGGACCATGGCAGTCTTGCTCCTGCTGAATCCCCAGAGTGTAGTCTGGCAGAGCAGAGGGACCTAAGTGCCAACTGAATAAATGAATGGAGTGAATGCATGAATGGATGCCCCAGCGAACCATGCTGATGTGTACATGGCAAGGATGATTTTGCTAGGGGCTTCTCTAATCAGAACAGAGCTGGTGTTGGAGTGAGTGTCCCAGTGTAACCAATACCTAATCCCCTGATTTAAGATGCTCTTAACAGACTTCGTAGCAATCGGATTACAGCACAGCATGCCTGATAAGGTCGCTTCCACTACTCTGCCTCTTTCCAGCCCACAAAATTTCCAGCTCCCTGCAATTTATTTTTGCTATCATAATAGTCTGCTATTTTCCCCAAAGCTGTATAAGAGAAATTGGCACCAATTCCACCTGTCTTACTATAAGATGCAGTGAGAGCACAGACTTTGGAGAAACAAACTCATAGCTTGGACACTCAGTTTCCTCATCTGTACAGTGGAGGTAATAATAGTATTCTTTTCACAGGATTCTGGGGATTAAGAGAAACAATGTCTGTAAAGTGCTTAGCCCTCAGGAATCACTTAACACATTTTCCTTGAGGAAAAAGCCTGGGACAGGCACCACTGGCTACTGGCAGGGCTATGGGCAAGACAGCAATCTTCTCTGGCCCCTAAGTGTCCCATACGTAATGCAAGAGTGGGAGAGGGAGGAGTCTAAGGAACCATTCAGCAAATAGTTACTCAGGATGTACTGTGTGCTCATCCTTAGGCTGAACAGTGGACACAGAGAGATAAAGGAGCCGTGGCCTCGCCCTTGAGGTGCTCCTGTGTGGTAAGAGCTTTGAGAAATGTGTCAAGCATTGTAGGAGCACCTGGTATGTGCAAGGCATATTGAAAAACACTTTCCATATAAGAGCACAATCAATTTTTGCAATAACACTGATGACAGCACCACTGTCCTTGTTTTAGAGGTAAGGGAACTCAGGTACAAAAAAGCCCTCTGTGATTTGCCCAAGGTCACAAAGGTTGTGAATAACAGAGATGGGATTTGAACCTGGAGACCAGCTCTGTGCTCTAACTCCCTTTCTTGCACAAACATAATACAATTCTCCATAATGATGAGACAGACTCAGGAGATTACACTTAGGCCAAGATAAATACCAATATCTCTCCTCTTTTCCTGATATTTTTGTGCTTTCTCTTTTTCTCGCCTCTCTTTTATCTCCCTGCACTTCCATCAATATTGTCTGCATTATCTACTACTCGTAGAGGCAACTGCTTCTCTTTTCGTTGCTGATATCATTCCCACTGACATTGCAGGGAAGAGGAAGGTTGTGGTCCTGGAGCGTAAGTGATAACTCCAGTTGCTAACATCCTTTCTCCAGGGATCCCAGAGCTGGGAAAGGTTCCTCAGGACAGCCAGCATTAGATAACCTTGAGCCTCTTCTTCCTCCTGCAATCAGGCTGAGAACCCTGGGGGGTCCCCAGATCCTCTCCATCTCTCCCAATGACACCTTCTTGACTAAACCCCTGTTCATTCCTTCCACCACAAAATGTCACCTTATGAAACAGGAATCGTTTGCATGTGGCTTGTTTTTAACCTTTGATATTCCCAACCAAATTTTCTAGAGAAAAAGTGACCCTCGTATCATTCCCATCCATGGGAAAATGTGGTCCTCATGCCAGCCCCAGCAGAGATACTGAGACAGTTCAGCATTTCTGAGCCAAACATTAGGGGGATCGCACCGCATAGGGGTTCAAAGTAGGAGCTCTGTGGCCAGACTGTTTGGGTTCAAATCCCAACGCTTCCATTCACTACTTTTGTAAACTTGGGTATGGTTACTTCCCTATGTCTCAATGTCCTGTCTGTTTCACCAGGAGCATCATGATGATGGTGGTGACGATGATGGTATCTCCCTTACAGAGTAGTGGGAGGATAGCATGAGTTAAAATACAAGTGTTTAAAACAGTTTGACACTCAATAAACATTAGCTTTATTTTTCTGTATGTCCCATAGCAAAGGCATCTCAAATTCATCTCCATTGCTTTTAAAGGTACATTCCAGCGGATAAAAGGAAACACACTTCCAATGACTACGAAATATTTAATAGCAAAAGGCATTTTAAGATTGCCGTAACAAAGAGGGAAAATAACTAACAACTCAGTGTTACTCTATGAGTTGCAACATGTTTTCATTTGCTGCACAGAGCATGAAACATACAGGTTGCAGTTGTCTTCTGGGGAGGCAGGATGTTTGGGAGCCTTATTTTACAGATGAAAGGTGAAGCCACTTGCTGGGGGGTCACACAACTAGTTAAAGGGAAGCTCTGAGACTGGAATAATGGTTTTCTGCCTGGTATCCAGAGTGCAGCTCAACTTCTTGGTTAAAACCAACACATAGGAACTAAACCACAGGCCTGCCGTGGTGACTCACATCTGTAATTCTAGTACTCTGGGAGGCCGAGGCAGATGGATTGCTTAACCCCAGGAGTTCAAGACCAGCTGGGCAACATGGTGAAATCCTGTCTCAATGAAAAATGCAAAAAATTAGCCAGGCATGGCAGTGCCAGCTAACCAGGAGGCTGAGGTGGGAGGATCCTGTGCCTGGTGGTGGAGGCTGCAGTGAACCATGATCATGCCCTGCACTCCAGCCTGGGTGACAGAATGAGGCCGCCTAGAAAAAAAAAAAAGAAAAAAGAAAAATGCCCAACACAATTTACTCTTCTTCCTTCTGTCTTTTCAACTGCTCCAGTGTGTTCAAGTTTCCAGGAACATTCCTAAGGGAAGGGCATTCACTGGCCAGAGCTGGGGAGCATTAATGAACAATTAAAAGTGGCTTTGGTGAAGAAAGCAAACGGAAGCCTGCTGCATGCCTGGGAGAATAATATTTTCCCTCTGAAGAGGGCAGTATGCAACCAAGGCCAAGTTGTGTACTCAGGTTTTTCTCCCAGGTCTTGCAGTGCAGCCCTCAGAAGCCGAAGCATTTCAAGGAGCTCATTTCTGAATGACAAACATCTTCGTACATGAAATAGGATTCTGGAGGTTTGAGCACAGTCATACACTGCCTCTTGCCTGAGGGGACACAGTGCAAACTGATTCGAAGGTGGTTATGCAAGATGGATGGAAGAAGCTCCAACGATTTCTTTTTCTATCATCTGCCCTCCCAAATCATCCTCTATGAAATTAAACAATAGCACAGCATCTCAGATGGTCTCTGACGTTTGCAGAAAAAGTGTTTCTTTTTCTACTACAACTGCATGCAGCCTGGTTTCTGCTGCCTAAAGCAAAATACCTCCTCGAAAACATCCTTTGCACAGAAATAAAATGTTGGGACTGGGGAGCTTAGCTCCTGGGATGCATTTATCAAGCCAATCACAGTAATTGTAATTAAAACACAAACTAAGTGAAAGCTGAGCATGAGATACATTAGCAGGAAACCTGAACTGCATACAATTAAGCCTTGCTTGGTGACATTTTGAGGTAAGTCATTGATACATTTCTGGGGTGGAGAAGATTGATTTTTTTTCTTAAACACCTTGGTCTAGTTGCATGAAAGGCTTCAACGTCAGTTACAAAGGAGGAATGAGGATACACACTATTAACTACTAAACTTACAGCTGTAAGACAGATGTCCAAAGATAGCCTAATTGGCTATTTTAAAAAAATCTTCCTCAGACATGCTGTTAAATATGTTTATTGGGCATTAATTTAACCTAGGTCTACTTTAGGGAAGTAAAGAATTGAAAATCTTCAGGGAAAATACAGCTTCCATTCCTAGCCTCAATGCATTAAGTCATTGGTGTTGAAAACCTTTCCACTCTTCCCCACTGTCTAGAGGAGAAAGTGCGTTCTCCTTACAGGTTCTTCATTCAGGTGTCGCTTCTGCAGTAAAGTCCTTACCATATTCTCCTCTCCTAAACCTGGCTCCCTCGGCCATCACAACACTTATCACACTGGTTTTTAACTCTATTTATTTTATCTTTCTCCCCTGGGTCTCCAGCACCTAGCACATGACCCAGCACAGAGCAGATGATTCAAAAACGTGGAATGAAGAGCAACCAAATAAATAAATAAATAAACGAATGAATAAATGAATGATCTATCCTTCTGGGTCCACCACAAACCAAATCCTCCAGGTAATCCTCCATCTTGCCCTACACTGGATAGAAGTCAGCTGGCTCTGCAATGGAAATCCTGGAAGAGATTTAGGAAAAATACATAGGAGAGTAGCTTAGGAGAGGCAGCTCAGGTTGGAAGGGATGTGTGTGAGGTAGGGGTGTGTGTGTGTGTGTGTGTGTGTGTAGCACTATGAAGCTCCCCCTTAGAATAAAAGCACAGGGCTTTTACTTAGATCTTATTTGGGGGATTGGGTGGGTGATGATAGACTCCAGGGCACACCTGAGTGTATCTTCCCATTTTGCCTAGGGATGGGAGAGCATAGAAGAGTTTTTCTTCAAGCCACTTCAAATATGTATATTTTTAATTTCTATTTTGAGATTGTAGATCCAAATGCAGTTGTAAGAAATAATACACAGACAGCCCATGGGCCCTTCACCCAGTTTCCCCCCATGCTGACACGATGGCAACCAGGACATTGACATTGATACAATCCACCCACCTTACTCAGATTTCACCAGTTTTATATGCGCTCATTAGTATGTGTGTGTGCGAGCGTGGGGTGTACACTTTATATAATATTTCTGAAAGTGGCTTTTCCCTCGCAATGGAGACTGGGAAGGGGTCCAGTCTGATCCATCCCTGCCACGGAGTTGGCTCCGGCAGACAGCAGTCTCTGCTTGTATTCGTCTCTTGCACACAGTAGGTGGCCAACGACCGTCCACGTAAACCCTTGAACTTGTCATGTCAGGGCGCGTTCAGGAGGGGAGCGCCACACACTGTAAGGAAGAAAACTGAGACTGAAGTGCCCAGTATTTTGGAAGCGAAAATCAAACAAACAAAAAACTTGACGATTTCACCCCCGAATTGTGAATTAGCTAGCTGGCTAATTGCTCCAAAGCGATCCTGGGGCCGGCACTAGCTGCGAACGCCGAAAAGCGCTGTTTCTGAGCCCCGCTTCCGGCTCTGCAGGTGGGGTAGGGGACGCGGGAGCTCCTTCCATCCCTACCCCCGCGTTCACCCCTTTCTTCCCTGGGGCTGGACTGTTTCACCCCGTCTCCAGGCAACGGCCAGGCGCACCGGGCGGGACGTCATTTCCTGAGGAGCCCGGGGGGAGGGGGCGGGCAGGAGGAGGGGCGAGGGGGCGGGGCCCGGGCCGGGCTGGCAACGCGACGGCGTCGGAACTCGCTGGAAGACTCGGCCCGGGCGGCTCAACAGTTCGCAAAGTCCAGGCTCGCGGCCGCGCGGCGCAGGGGCGCGGAGGCTCCCCGGGCGGCTGCATCCCGGGGCTGCCCCGGGCATGCCCCGCACCCCTTGCCGGACGCCCGCGCGGCTTCACCGACTGCGACTCCCCGGACTGCTCTGGGACTAGAGCGCCCTCCGTCCCAACTTCTGACTTTGGGGTCCCCCAGCCCTAGAGGAACGGGCGGCCCGGCTGGGGGAGCCCCGGGCATGGTGTGACGGGGCGGTCAGGTCAGCTTTGCGGCGCCTCCGGTCTCCAGCCACCCGTCGTCTCCGTGCCCTCCGGAATGTAGCTGCTCACTCCGCGCCCCCCGGACTCCAGCCGCAGTCTCCGCCACCTCTGGGCTCCAGCAGCCAACTCTTGTGTCTTTCAGGAACTCGCCGACGTCTCCGCGTCCCCTGGATTCCAGGTTCGCGACCCCCGCCGTCTTCGCGCCTCCGGGACTCTAGCAGCGGTCTCCGCGACTTCCTGGGATCCAGCCACTGTACCTGTGCTCCACAAACCCAGGCTCCAGCCGTCGTCTCCGTGCTGCCGGAGATCCAGCTGTCGCGCCAGTACCCGCGAGGACAGCGACACCCCCCACACCCCGCGCGCCCAGAGCCCGGCCGGGCTTTGGCGTGGAGATGAACGCGCCGCTGGACGGCCTGTCGGTGAGCTCGTCCTCCACCGGCTCGCTGGGGTCGGCGGCCGGGGCGGGCGGCGGCGGGGGCTCGGGGCTGCGACTGCTCTCTGCCAACGTGCGCCAGCTGCACCAGGCGCTGACCGCGCTGCTGAGCGAGGCGGAGCGGGAGCAGTTCACGCATTGCCTGAACGCTTACCACGCGCGCCGCAACGTCTTCGACCTGGTGCGCACCCTGCGCGTGCTGCTGGACAGCCCGGTCAAGCGGCGCCTGCTGCCCATGCTTCGTCTGGTCATCCCGCGCTCCGACCAGCTGCTCTTCGACCAATACACAGCCGAGGGCCTCTACCTGCCCGCCACCACCCCCTACAGGCAGCCCGCCTGGGGCGGCCCCGACGGCGCGGGGCCCGGGGAGGTGCGCCTGGTGAGTTTGCGGCGTGCCAAGGCCCACGAGGGCTTGGGCTTCAGCATCCGTGGGGGCTCGGAGCACGGCGTGGGCATCTACGTGTCTCTGGTGGAACCAGGCTCTCTAGCTGAGAAGGAAGGACTGCGGGTCGGGGACCAGATTCTGCGAGTCAACGACAAATCCCTGGCCCGGGTGACCCACGCGGAGGCCGTCAAGGTAGTGCTGTGGTTTGGAGAGGAGTCTGGGGCAGAGTATGGACAGAGTGGCACAGCTTTTTCAGTAACTCCGTGCTGTGTGTCCTTAGGGGAATCACTTGGCCTTTCTGGGCCTTTTTTTTGTTTTGTTTTTAACTTTAAAACAGGAATGTATAGCTTACAGAGCAAATAGCTGTCAGGCATTGGGAACGTAGTTTTGCACAAACAGACATGACCCTTGCCTTCGTGAGGCTTAAAGGCTAGTGTAGGCGATAGTGTCAAATACTTGAGCAAATGTATGGTTACGATGTGTGAAAAGGGCTGTGGATTCTTATGAGCAATAAAAGAGATAAAATCTCTGCTTGGCATCATTAGGTGGCCTTTGCTGCTGCCATTCTGTGGGTGTTTTTTTCCCTGAAAGAAAGTTTGTTAGCTCTTAAGTGGCCCGAGGAGGCCGTCTGTGTGATCCACAGTGCCCTGGCTTGACGCCGCTGTTTTTGGAACAGGCTGTGTATCCTGAAGCAAGTCATTTGCCCTCTCAGGACCTCTTATTCTCCACTTGGAAAATCGGGCCACTGGACCAAATAAGCGGTCCCTAACCTTTTTGGAAATGAGACTCCTGCCTGAATGTCAAAAATAAATTCCCCAGCCCCTGAGAGTATTTGTCCTCTCTGCCATCTGTTAATTGAGAAATATAACCTAATGACAACAAGCTTCCAGGGATTTAATCATGCTTTTTAAAGGAGTGTGTGTGCTCACTGATCTCACAGCCCAGGGCTACTGAAAACCAGCTGGAGTATGATGGATAGTGTTGGGTCCAGGGTGGATTCATGGATCCTTTGCAGGCATTTTTCCCCCTTTCCCCTTCCCCCACCTCGTTTGTGTACAAGAAGTGAAGAGTTTGGGGGAAAAGGGACAATGACACATGCTCTGCTTCTCCAGAGAAATGCTTCTCAGGGGGTTGGACTGTTCTGTAAAACACGCGCCCCCCCCGCCGCCCCGGCTCCCCACCAGCACAGGTCTTTTGAACTCCAGCTGAGGGCCTGCTGGCTCCTGGGAAACTCCTAGGCAGCAGAGGCCCATGGCTACTTCCTCCTGAGTGCCATTCAGTGACCTGTGTCCAGGTGAGTCTTGAGCCATCTCCCTGGCTGTGCACCTGATGTTGGCTTCCCTCATTTGCTTCCCAGCCCATCAACCCCTTTGAAGGAAGCCCTTGAGGCTTTCTGAAACTTCTTTGCAGCTTCTGGAAAAAGGCCGATCGGTTTATACTGTTCCAGGGTGCAGTGGGCAAAGCTCGTTGTGAGTTTCCATGCAACAATTCCTCTTCCCCCTCTATCAATCTTTTCCCTTTGTTTAGCATTCCATGTATTTATAAAGAAGTAGTCCATTAGCCTTGACCTTAAAAGGTCTGGAGTTCCCAGATGATAAATTTATGCACTAAAGATACTTGATGTAAATGATCATTTATAAATGTGGATTCAATTTTAGTGGCAATTTAAAAAGACTTGGGTAACTTAACGGTCACAAGGTGATAAGGTGATAGGCTTTGGAAAGACTGTCAGTTACCTTGGGCATTGAAAACGCAGAGTGTCCCTTCCATTTGCACCCCAGACTCAGCCATGCCATAAGGGTCAAGCTGCTTGGCTGTGAGTTTCAGTTTACCTGCAGTGCTCCCGGCCTGCCACCCCCGCCCTCCCCCACCACCATTTCATTGATCCTGCTCCAGATCTTCTCTCTGAACCTCCCTCAACACCATGGTGCTGTTAAACTGTGACTCAGAGCAGCACCAGCCTTTAGCTCGTTTATTTACTCTTGCTGCTTCCAGAGTAAAACCTAAACTCTCCATGTCATAGTTTTTGAAGCCTGAGAATAAACCCTTGCCAGCAAGGGAGAGGTTGATAGGAGCAGAGCTGTCCTTGAAGTGTGGGAGCCTGTGGCGCAGGAGCCTGTGTGAGCTGAGTGGCTCTGTCTCTTTACTATCATTTTCCCAACAGAAGTGGCTACATTGGCAAAATGAGCTCTTGCCCCAGGGTCACCCCTCTTCTAGCCGTGGCGGGATACATAACCTGCCTGGCATGGACCCCTTTGGACCCTTCAGAAGCAACGGGCAAAGTGATGGCTGCTTTGTGTTACATTAACCCCAGGGGAAAAAGAGGACAGCCTTTTCTTTGGTGGGTGGAATTTAAAACGGAGGAGGCGGAACTTAGTTCCTGAGGCCATGGCACTCCTCGTGTACTTTCAGGGACAGTTTAAAAGAACACCTGGAGAACTGTTGACACATTTCCACAAAATTAAGAGCGAAAAGCCTGTTAACTGAGAGCCAGAAGAGGCCCCAGCTTTTCTACTAGGCACAGACTGCCCTTAACCAGCATTTCTCCATGGAGAGCCGTTCTTTGTAAACTGCAGTGCTGCGAGTCACCATGTCAGGGATTTATGGTAAAGGTATATTACTGTTAACTGGACTTCACACTTCATTCAAATTTCACCGATTTTTCTACCTATGTCCTTATTTTGTTCTAGGATACCACACTGCATTTAGTAGAAGATATGTTTTCAGTCTTAACAATCTTTATTTTTTTCCTGCAATGGAAGGTGGTTTGAGGGGGAGCAGATCCTCTGAGCTTCCCAGACAGAGAGATTCAGTGTGTGCGTGTGTAATAAAAATTAAATTAAATTAAATTTTAGGAATCAAGTTACCTAAGAGTTTATGAATAAAGGAGCATTGCAGCTTTTTAAAGAGTGGGTCAAGCAGTTTTTTCCACTTCTCTTTCTGATAAATCAAGCATCTATTGTTACCTGAAGCAGTTCAGTGAGGATTTGATACTATATTCATTGGGGCTTCCACCCCTCTCTTGAAACCCACTTGAGGAATCAGCAGTGACAGGTCCAGATAAGGCAAGTCATGTACTATTTGCAATTATGTTGAAATGTTTGAGTTTTGAAATAATATCTTGAATGAACAGGAGCCAAACTAATAATAATTAAAAAGTAGACCCTTTCAAAGGTTTTCAGCCAAATGTGCTTGATAAATTGGCCAAAGAGTCCACAGACCAGGGATGCTGCCTTAGGCCCTGCTGCATATTTCCTATGTGACCTTGGGCAAGTCACCGACCCTCTCTGCATTCCAGGGTGGATGGGCCGGGAGCTGTCCAAGATCCCTTCCAGCTCAGACAGTCTGCGATTTGCTTGGTACACAGAAGGCATTTAGAATGTCTAATCTGATGTTTTCTTGTTCTTTTGAAATGGCTTTCATTTAAGGCAGAATAAGGAAAGTTGGCTAAGGATTGGGAGATGAGGATCTTGGCACTCTCGCGTAGCATCCTACTAAATCAGGAAATTGATGGGTTATACACTGTACTGACGAGAGCTGGACTGCTGTCTCTTGACCCATGAACACCAACCCTGGTGCTATTCCGGAGCAAATGAGGAAACAGTAGGATTCTGGCACAAACAGCGCTGCCCTGGGAGCATTCAAAATCAAATTCACTTGCTCACTTGCCTTCTGAATCTCCTGGTTACGTGGGTAGCAGAACACAGGGTATCCGGGTACTGCTGAGATATGTACACATATGTGTGTGTTTCCTCTCAATAAAAATTGCACAGTAGGTGCTTCCTTATGGCCTCAGCACCCCTATGGGTAAATTCAAGGAGCATATTAGAATTCAAGGAGCATATTAGAATTGAAATATTCCAGAAGTTAAAAACTGTTGCCGGTACTTTCATTTAATTAGAGCGATCGCACCCTCTCTCCCTTTGCATAATAACCTGGAAAGAATCTGTCCATATTCATATCAGACATTATATCTGGTCCAGCACGTTCTAAATGACACAATTGTCCTTTTCCCATTGTGCATGGTTAGCTGAAGCCATTACAAATTATTACCACTTCCAACTTTGTGTCTGAAATGTAGCTTCTCCCCCTGGTCTCGTTCCTGTGTCGTTTGGAAACCATGGCACCATGGCGTGCACAGACTTTCCTCTGGCCCTGCTTTCACTCTTGGGTCCTATGAATCCTGCCAGCAATGACATGTGGAAAAGCTCACTTATTAATAAGCCCATTACTGAGTAGATTTGTGGCTGCTGCATATCCAGAGTGTGATGCAGTACATTGAGTGGGTCCATTTGTTTAATTTAGTCTTGTATATTTAGTTGGCTCAAGCTGAGGCTCAAGGTTTTAGAAAATTATGATGCCTAGATAGGACAAAATCCTCTTTCCTCTGGTTATTTACTCTTTAAATCAAAGAAGCATTTTGTAGGGTGGAAGAGAATGCCCTTAAAAAAAAAATCGGTATTTTTATAGAAAATTCTTGCCTCCTGACTTGAATCTGGACATGAAAGAGATATAGAACCACACCAGCACTAGTGTCTTGTTTTCCTGTCGTTCCCCTCTGCTGACAAACCCAGCATTGTTTATTACTTGCCATCGATTCATCATTTGGATGGAGCTGCAAAGATAAGTGTGATCCTTTAACCCCCCGACCGATTGGATTGTGTGTATGTTGCTGCTTCCCAACTCTGCCTGCCTTCAGCCGCACCCACGGTACACAGCCTGCCTGCACCTGTCAGTGCCTGCAGCCCCTCGCTCATGTGCCTGTCTGCTCAAGCTTGAAGCACATGTACAGTCTTCTCAGAATCATAATCCCCCCTCCATCCTGCAAAGGGCTTTGCACCGAAGCCGGCGTTCATAGGGGATTAGGCTCCAACTGGTGATTTCTAGCAAGGTTGTTTTATGACCTGGAAGGGAAGCCTTTGGTTTACCCTTTTCAGGGACCCCAGACTAATCCTCAGCCAGGACGAGAGAATCTTGATTAGAAAGAATGACATTAAATGGCCGGAGGTATCTGGAGGCTGAAATACAAATCTTTCAGAACTGACTTCTTCTTTTTTAAACTCCTGAGGAAGAATCTGATATTAACTCTGAACTCACACAGACTTCTAATTGTGCCCCAGGGTAGGGGTGATTTTTAAGATTTTTGTGCTGCTGACATTGGCCTTTTACTTTTAAAGCCTGGCAAGCGGAAA